TCACTTGTAGAGTCAATTCTCATGGCCCAACATGTCACTATGGAAACTCATCTAAAGTTGTCTGGTTTTTAAAGTTTGGTGTGGCTATAACTGGGTATGGTGGTGCATACTTATAATCTCCGCACTCAGGAAGCTGAGGCAGAAGGATCGCCATGATTTCCAGGTCACCCTGGGCTGCATAGTGAATTCAAAGCCAGCTTGAACTGCATAGTGAGACCTTGTCTTGGAAAAAAATGTTTAGCATGGCCAAGAGTTCTCAAATCATGCTTCTAGTGCCAAAGCCACATTTTGAAATTGTGTAGTTGTTTCTCTCTTTAATTTTCGAAATGCTAGGTCAGACTAGAGTCTGATTCAATAAGTTTTGGGTGGGTTCTGGACATTGGTGTCTATGAAAAGCCTACAAGATATTTTTTTTTTTTTTTTTTTTTTTGAGACAGTGTCCTCTGGGTTGGCCTGGAACTCTGAGCTCAAGCTCTCCTCCTTCCTCAGTCTCCCGAGTGCTGGGATTACAGGACTGTGTCTGCTCTACCAGAGTCCAATATGTAACCAGAGTGCAATCTAGCATTTTGGCACCAAAACCAAAAAACTCCCCCAAACTGTAATTTTGGTAATTTTAAATTTTAAATAAAAGTAAATAAGAAAGTCATTCACTTTGCAAGTCAGGTGTGGTAGCACACATTTATAATCCCAGCACTTAGGAGGCTGAAGCAGGAAGATCCTTGCAAATTGGAGGCCAGTCTGCAGTACATAGTGAGTTCAAGGCCAGCCTGAACTACATATCAAGACTGTGTCGGAGACCGAGAGGGAGAGAGAGACAGGCAGACAAACAGGCAGTCTTTGTTACTCCTTTGGGATGACAACTCCTTGCATGCATGTGTGTGACCATGAGCCTCTGCTGAGCAGGAGAGGAGCAGCTGACTTAGGGGACACCTTGCAGATGCCAGCAAGCGACAGTGTGCTCCCGATTAACAGGTGATGTCCTTATGGGAAACCCTCTTACCATGCACTGTGTCCCCAGAATCCTGTCATTTTAAAATGGACTTTGGCTTCTGAGCTGGATTCCCCATGCCCATGTGTAACCCCGAAGCCCAAGTCTGTGGTGGGGGCGCTGAGGCCGACCCCCACCATGCATAGCCCTGAGACTGTAATACCTATGTTTGGGATGCCCAAGTCTGAAAAGTAACATTTTCATCAAAAACGAGCATTTTCTAAAGATATTTACTTGAAAGTTTTGAGAAAAGCAGATCTCCTGCCCTGGGGCTCCTGGGAGTATGTACAAAATACAATAATTAAATTAAGTCCAGCAGTTAAAATTCCTCATAAAAAGAAAATGCTGAGTGCTTCCCAATGGGGAATGCTTGACTTAAAAAGAAAGGTTTCACTCTGTGGCCTACAGGTCAACAAACGGGGCTCTGCAGAGAATGGATACAGTTTCTTAAAGGGCTTCTTCTGTCTTTGTTTTGCTGAAAGAAAATAAGAGTAAAAAGGGACAAGTTTGGAAAATTCAAAAAATGAAGGTGCTGCCCTAAAATCATCACGAGTTTTATAAGCGCTACACTGGAGGCTATGAAAACACAAGGTCTTTCCCAAGCTCTAATCTAACACACATGTGCTTGGAGAGCAGCGAAGGCCGGAGGCTTTGAACAAACCTTTAAACTGTGCTCGATTTGCAAAGCCACTGCCGATCACTGGCTACTTATTTTGAAAATGTTTGCCTTAAATATTCTATAAATGTATTCCACAATTTGCAAATTCCCTGCATGACACAAAGACTTTGTGTTTTTAAAAAGGTTTTTATGAAGCAAAATTCTACAAATGATCTTTATGGGTCACATTCCAAAATGGAATGTTTATCAACATCTGAAAATATCAAGTTTCATAAGAACCATTTGACATTACCTTTTTAGTAGTGTTCCTACAGGAAAAAAAATAGGATAGAAATCAGATTTTGCAAATTATACATGAGTAACTATGCTTTCTATATAAATGAAATAAAACTGATATTTTATATTTACAGAAAGTTGAACTTTCTCTCTCTCTCTTTCTCTCTTTTTTTTGAGGCAAGTTCTCACTATTTAGTCCAGGCTGACTTCAAAGTTGGGGCAATCCTCTTGCCTCAGCCTCCTGAATGCTGGGATCATAGCATGCACTACCATGCCAAGCTGCTGAAATAGAATCTTTCTGTGGGCCTCGCATTAAGACACCATGATCAGGGGCTGGGGGTTTAGCTCAGCGGCATAAGCTCCTGCCTTGAAAGCAGGTAGTCGTGAGTTCGATCCCCGGTACCCATAAAAAGGAAAAAGACAAAAAAACAAAACAAAACAACAAAAAAAAAACACTATGATCAGATGTCGGTCAAAAGAAATAGCAGCTCAGGCAGCAATATTTTTCATTTACTGAATAATTAGCAGCCTCACTGACATTTCTGCTTTGATCCCAGAGCACTTTAGCAGTTGTCTGCTCTCAGGGCCTCTCCAGGAAAATGGGTATCATACCCATCCTGTGCTGAGTTCCCAGGAAACGAAAGATTGTGGGGTGTCCTGAAGCAGCTCACGATTTAAGGAGTGAGATTTTGTTGTAAAACATGGACAAAGTATTAGGAAAAAAATTGCTGAATTTTGTTTCTCCTTGCTCCGTATTTGTTACCTGTGAATCAGGGAAAGGAAGACAAGGTAAAATTACAAGGAAAAGGCACTGCCATCAGTGCACACCTGTAATTCCAGTTACTCTGGAGGCTGAGGCAGGATGATTGCAAGTCTGAGGTCAGCCTGGCAACTCTGCAAGACCCTGTCTTCAATAAATAAAAATACAAAGGCTGAGATGTGGCTCCTGTGGCTTGCATAGTATTCTAGGTGTTAGGCTAAACCGAGGCACAACTGAGACCACTGAAGCAGGCAAAGTTGAAGCTAGGTTTGAGGACTTGATTGCCGACCAGGTGTGGTCAGGCCAAGGACAAAAAGACCACTGGCCTTGAGTAAGGGGTGCGGGAAGATTTTTATAAGGGAGTTTGGGTAGAGGAGGGAGGTATTGCTGAGGGGGGTGCAGAATTTTGGGTCTGAGTAGAGGGTCTAAGTCTGGGTGATGGACAGGGCAGTGTTGGATAGACAGGGGGTGCTGGAAGGCACAGCGTGTCTCTTGTGGTTTTTCATGGAACCAGCTCTTTGCAGGTTGCGCTTGTGGGGACAGCTGCCCTGCTAGGTGCGAATAACAGATCTGTTTGGGGGAGTTTTTTCTCTCTAGTTGGCTGGGGGTCTAGTTCAGAGATCTGACACTAGGGGCCCTGGGTTTATTTAGCAAAATTTTTATTTTCATTTTCTGGGTTTTGAGACAGGGTCTCATTATGTATGTAGATCAGGTTGGCCTTGAACTTGCAAGGATCCTCCTGCCTCAGCCTCCCCAGTGCTGGGGTTACAGATGTGAACCACCCCACTCAGCTGAGGTGAATCCCTAGCACTGCAGATACAAAAAAAACAGGGAAGAGGAGGCAGAGAGAAAACAACAGAGGGATGGGACTGGAGAATGACTACAGCAGCCCAGGAGGACACCGTTGCAGAGGCAAGGTCAGTAGCTCCTCTGGCTGCCACGTGTGTGTCCTCCACCCTTTCTTTCTCTCGGGACTGCTTTCCTAGACAATCCAAGTCACTCTCCAGCCTTTCTGACCCTTGTCCCAGCTCCTTGGGAGGCTGAGGTGGGAGGATCGGAGCTCAGGAGCTGATCAATCCTGGACAAGGTGGTGACACCCATCACAGACAGTGCTGCATCCGGGCGCTGTCATTGTTCTAAAACAAAGCCAGGAGCAAGGTGGAACCTCAAATCCCCGGCACTCTTAGGTGGGACTGTGTAGTTTGGTGGAGAAAATACAGAGATAACAGAGTGACCTTAAGCAAGTCCTCTAACTGGGCCCGCAGACACACAACTCCCAGAAGACCACTAGTTTGTATTTTTCTATGGGAATGGCGCCCCCTTCACGCAGAATCTGGCACTGCAGGCCCTCCTGGGGCTTTATTTTTTATTTTTATTTTTTTGTCTTTTTCCTTTTCATCGGTACCAGGGATCGAACTCACGACTACCTGCTTGCAAGGCAGGCGCTTATGCCGCTGAGCTAAATCTCCAGCCCCAACCCCTCCTGGGGCTTTAAAGTGTAGTATGAAGACGGCCAGGCCGTGCCTGCCCCTCAATATAGGGGCACCCTAACAGCAGAGCCTCGGGCCCCAGTAAGCAAATGAGAAAATGGAGTTCACGTCATAGACATGTACTTTGCAGCCAGCTTCGCAGGGGCAAGATTCTCGTCGTCTATTGCAGGTCGGATTTCCTACCTGGATGGAAAAGATTTGTCCTGTATTGAGTTTCCTGTAAGCCAAGTTGAGTGTTTGGCGCTTTTCAAAAATACTATACCTATTTGTTATTTTATTTATTATTTCTCATTGATCTTTTTAAAAACTTTTTAAAAATGGTAAAATGTACATAACATTTACATTTTTTTGTTTTTTATTTTGTTTTGTTTGAGACAGGTCTTGGTATGTAGTTCAGGCTGGCCTTAAATTCGTGGTGATCCTCCTGCCTCAGCCTCCTGGGTGCTAGAATTACATGATGTACTATTATGCATGGCTTCAAAATCAATCATTTTAGCAGTGTGTGTGTGTCTGTGTGTGCCAGTGCTTCACACATGGTAGCCAAGTGCTCTTCTATCACGGCTACACCCCCCAGCTCCATTTTAACCTTTTTCCCCCTTAATTTTGAGTATCTTTAGTTGCACCATGATGGCTGCCTGGAGGTGAACACGCTTCCCTTTCATGGACATTTTGACTTTGGGGAAGCGTGGGAGGCCATGCAGAGCCAGATTGGGGGCATCAGGTGGAAGAGGACACATCTCCATGTTTTTCCGAACCGGCAGTCACTGTATTCCTGGCATTCCTGAAAGAGGGCTTCAGAGTCCTCGGAAACTGGCAAGAATGATGGGATATGCATGCTCGAAGCAAGGAAGAGATTTTTGAGTTCAGTTTGTGGCAATGTGTCTTTTTTTATTTTTTATTAAAAAAAATTTTTTTTGGTCTTTTTATCGGTACCAGGGATCAAACTCACGACTGCCTGCTTGCAAGGCAGGCGCTTTATGCGGCTGAGCTAAATCCCTAGCCCCTCCAATTTTTTTATTTTTAAGGTAAGACACACTCCATGTTTTGCTCAGCCCTCGTGTAGCCTGGGGGCAAGGCCTTGGTGGCACATGGGGACTTGGGAGAGCCATGGTGAGGTCAGAGCAGCAGGTGCTGCCGCCCTTGAGCTGAGTCACGCTGTCCTTGCGCTCACGCTCTCTCTGTCCTTGCTGGCCGAAGTTGCCTGCAGCACCCCTGGCAGCACAGTGGGGATGGGTGCTCCTCTATCCTTAGCATCCCTGAAAACAGAGGCCCAGACATCACAGTGGTTTTCTGTCCTTCCCTTCCTGGGCCCCAGAGGAGACCCCACAGCCTCCTTTTTAGATAGGAAGCCAGAGGCTCCACAGAGGGTGGGAAGGGAATGTCCCTGTATAACTAAAGTCATTTGATTCATTGTTTCAAACAAAACACAATGTGCCAAACCAATGGTTTGGTATTCGTAGACCAAACAATCCGGTTCTTTTCTTTGTGTTTTTCCCTCAGCAGATATTTTAACTGTCACAACACTGCATAAGATGGAGTTTTCAGTCTGTTAACTGTGAAGAAAGAAAGAAAGCCTGAAAGCTCCTTCCGGACCCAAGCCCTCACCTCAGGAGCATGTCCTGTTTTTCTTTTTTTCTTTTTTGGTACCAAGGATCTAACTTGGGGCCTTGCACTTGCAAGTGGCAGGGGCTGTGCCACTCAGCTGCATCTCCAGCCTCAGATTTCCCTTTTTATTCTTTTTTTTTTTTTTTTTTGGCGTGACTGGGGTTGAACGTAGGGCCTTCATACTGAGCTACATCCCCAGTTCTCTCTAATATTAGGGTCTCCCTAAGTTGCTAATTGACCCAGGCTGGGCTCCAATTTTTAATCCTCCTGCCTCAGCTTCCCAGGTGTCTTATAGGCATGGGCCACAGGAGAGCTTGAGAATCGCTCGAGAGTCACGGAGCGATCCTGTAGTGACGCGACTCCTTCCAGATCGCCAGGCGTCCGTGGGCTGTGAGCAGAGGGCTCACCCGCAGGCTTTGTCCTGACTGAGTCTACTCCAGCGGAGCAGGGTGGCTCCTGAACAAGTGGTCATGTGGGAGAAAGTCATCTCGCCTGGGCCAGCTGCTGCCCGCAGCCTAAGCAGCTTCCCCATTCTGTGTGTGTGTGTGTGTGTGTGTGTACGTTTTAAAACAGGTCTGGTTATATAGCCCAGAGTGGTCTCAAACTCATGGTGATCCTCCTGCCTCAGCCTCCTGAGTGCTGGAACTACAGGCCTGCACCACCAAGCCTGGCACCAGTTGTCTGTATATGGCCTCTGGGGGAGGTGGGGTCAGAGCCAGGCTGGAGGAGTCTGCTGCAAGCCAGAGTGGGTGTAGGCACACTGGACCTCACCCCTCAGACCCCTGTCTGGCTCCTATCCACCAAGGAGGAGGCACAAGAAGATGAAAGAGTGGAAAAACTCCAAAGTTATGCTCAAGGTTTTCCAAGAGGGTTTTAATTTTTAATTTGCATCTCTCTAGGCTGTACTAGAGGGCCCTGGGACTTCTCTTTAACATTTGATGTTACTTTTCAGCTTTGCACCTCCCTAGACTTCCACAAAGGCATTTTAAGAGAAAAGCTTATTGGGCAAGTCCTATGGTGTTCTGTGACCCATTTGGCCCAACAGGTGTTTGTTGAGTGACTAAATAAATGAAGTGATTCCTTGGGAAAAATCCAGAGGAATCTTCACTCTCATCGAAGTTCTTTCTTTACTAAGTTGAGAATTATCACCTGCCCTCTAAGGATGTGAGAGGGAAATTGGCAAAGTTGACTGGTACTTGGGAAGCTTAACCAGTCAAGCTCTTTGAACTGGAGTATCCTTTTTTCTCTTGCTTCAGATACTGTGTTGAGAAACGCGCGTGATCCACTGCATGACTGGAAAGCCAGGGACCGGGATCGCGCCACCTCCTTGGTCCAACAAGCGGCTACCAGGCCGGCAGAGTAGCGGACCAGGGTCCAATCAGGGCAGGACGCGCTGGGGTTTGCAGAGCTCGGCCACAAATCACAGTGGCCGCGACTCCGAGGCCAATTCGATGCGGGGCCCACGCAGGTGTCGCCTGCACGGGGTGCGCGGGGAGCACCGGACCCGGATCCCGGAGAGAGACGTTATTGTTACACTGTAACGAGTCTGATTAACATGCTCCTGACACTTTCCTTTAGTTTCTCGGGCTCCTAGCAACAGCGCACAAAGGCACGCGATTGTCCCTGGCTCCGCGGGGACACGGGGCAGCCTTTGATCTGCCACCGTCGCAGCGGGGCTGCGTGACAGGAGCGCAGGGTCCGGGCAGCCGGGCTACCCCGCTGCGCCCCGAGCGCAGCTCCACGCGCACCTCTCCGGGAGCCCTGGGACCGCGCGGTCCCAGGCCCAAGGTCTCCAGGTTCCCGGCTGGCCGCTTGTGCGGGCTCCGCCTCGCGGGGACTTTTCCATCGGAAGCAGCGAGACTGAAACCCGGCAGATCTCTTAGAATGGGGGGAAAAGAACTCAAAGGGGAGTCGGTCCCCGTCCCGGGAGGCTTTTTCCAAATGAACACTCTGGGTCGCGGCGCAGCCCCGGGCGCTGGGAGGTCGCGTTCTTTCCGCGCGTGGTTTTCCTGCAAGGTGCGCTGCCGAGAGATTCCTGAGATTTAACCGAACCAACAACAGGGACAGCGGAAAGCATCCGTCTAAGAACCGCGAAAAGCTGCCGGGCGCCCCGCGTCAGCGTGCAGGTGCTGAGCTGGGGACCAAAGGAACTGGCTTTGCGTTTCGGTCGCCCTTCTATTAGTCCCCTCCGGGCCGGCCCGCTTCAAACAGCGCGGAAGGGAAGACTGGATAAGCCAGGGCTTTGAGGTTTAAACGCGGGGTCCGGTAACTGCGAGCCCCCAGTGCTCTCGGGAGCCCTGCGGGAGACAGGGCCGGGCGGCTCGGCAGCGAGATCCAGATCGCTGTCTCCGCGGCACCGGCAGGCCGAGGCCCCTGGCCTCACAGCACTCCTATGCAGAGGTCTTGATGGAAATTTTATAACCGGTTTTGTAACATCCATTACCTTCCTGGTGCTAAAGGAGAGACAAAAATAATAACAACGGAAGATTTAGGTTGCAAGGTAAATGGAAACGCTAAAGGCAGATACATAAAAAAGCTGTGATGCCCCCGAAGAGTAAGGTCAGTTTCCTCAAACTCCAGCTGAATTACTGGGGGGCAGAGATGTTCGTGGTAATAATGACACGTCTATTCTAGAGAGGGGGCGACAGCCACACAGATGTCCTATCAACCCGGCAGAATATGCCAGGCAAGCGGCAAGTTTCAAATTTAGAAACTGGGGCCATCAAGTCTTCATTCGGCAGGACTCCCATGTCCCCATCCTGTCCCCAGAGGACAGGAGTGGAGGGCTGCGGGTGCATGTGGACGTCGGAAAGGAGGTCTCCAGACCCCTGCAACTTCAAAACTCGTGCTCCGTGGACAGTGCCCCACGCCACTGGGGTCCCGCTCGCCATTTTCATAAAACAGGACAGTATTGATAGAATCCTGTGTACATTAAAATGAGATTGTCACAGGCTGTCATCAAGCCCTCAGTAAAACAATGAAGACATTACTGCCCCCCCCCAAGGTATTAGGGGAATAAAGCAATCTCCACCACACGGGTCCTATTGAGATTAATGAAAAAATTATGCAAAAAAAATCTCAATTTCATTTTCCTGTGATGGGCTTCGCGTCCATACAGTCCATCCTGCCTTGCACCTGATGATTTATTAAACTAATCTATGGTGATCACCCTGATGTTCTCAACTCAATCTTGTCCTGGCTCATTTTCTAAGTAATTGTTTCTCATTAGTTCTGATAATGTTTTAATAGTGTTACCTATAATTTAGCCTCCAAGAATTAATAACAAGGGGGTGATCTGGAGCAGGGGCTTGTCATGAGCAACACAAACCATAAACAGGTATGGTTTTTAATTAATCTGATTAGTGGTGAGATCCCCTTCCAGGGCTCCCTCCCTAGCTAGGAGGCGAGTGGCAGGCATCACAGCCCAGGTCAGCAGTGCAGCGTGCAGAGGACAGGTCCCCTGGCCCAGTGCCCTTCCTTGCCACCCTCAGCACCCAGAGATGCAGGCAGATGCAGAGGGACAGAATCTGTGTCCAAGTCCCCCCGTTCCCGGCTCTGTCTGTCACAGCCTGAGGCACACAGGGCTGTGGCCAGGGATAACCTTTCTGGCACCCTCGGCAGGGTCTCCACTGGGAGAACAGTACTGTGGTCCAGTCTTGCTATCCTACCACAATCAGGACCCTGATTACAGGGAACATCAGTCCCTGCTGTGGAGATTTAGTAAGGTGGCTTTGTTTGAACCAAGTCCAGTTTAGGACTAGTACATGTGGAGCCCCCCGTGGGCCCGGGGTGGGGCAGGAAGCCAGGTTGTTTTTCCTGTGGTCCCAGCATCCTTTACTTTCCTCTTGCAGGTTTCCCATGGGACCAGCCCTGAAGGTGGAGGTCCCTGGCTTGAGGAGGCCCCATGTGGAGGATTGGGAGCTACTCCTCTCCTTGACTCCCAGTGGCAACCTGAGGCCTGGGCTGCAGTTGAGGGCCATGGCTTGGGTGACACTGGTCCCCTATGATGTGGCTGAGATGCTGTCTGCCCCCTGCCACTCCCCGAGGGAGGGTGGTGTGGCTGCCACCCGCCTTTCCGGAAACTCTGGGGCAGCATAGGACAACCCAGATGGAGAGGGATGATGCCCAAAGGAGGGTACAGGAAAGAGTGATCACAGCTCATCTCAGGAGCTGTCTCCTTGAGATCCCTTTTTGGGAATGTTAGTTGATGTCTCAAGAATGTGTGTCGCAGGCCTAAGTTCCTTCAGGAGCCCATGGATGGGAGATCCCCTTCCTGCCCTCACGGTGACATCTCTCTTGGTGTCAAAAGGTCTTTGCCCGTGACCAGTCTTCACTCTGCTCACCTCTCTGGGGGTTTCTTGTAGGACCCAGAGGAAGTGGGGGAAAGGAGACCCCTGGTTGGGCCCACACTTGGGGCGGCGGAGGGAACATACCAAGAGGGCGTAGGAGGAGGTGAAAAAATGAAACCAAGAAACAACTGTTTTCTATTTACAAATTTAAATAAACAGAACAGCCTTCCCTGCGGTGTTTGTCTTAAGACTAGCAGGTCGCTGCTGTGTGGGTCGTGAAAAGGTTGGTGTAGAGTTTAAAACTTCCCATTCTGTTAATTTCTTAAAGAACAGTCATCCAGAGTCTCGGCACAAAAGCTCATGATTTAATGAGGAACAGAAACAAAATCTTTGATTGTTGGTGTTTCAAACTTCATTGGCGTCCACTGGCACGCACAAGCTGATCCTCTGCGGCTTCAATACCCTTTAGCCTTCAATATAAGAGTACGTGCTGAATAGGGAACAATGCCGGTTGTTATGTTTGTTTACCCTTCCTACAAGCTGGGTTAACCTCTTCAAAACAGCTTTACTAAGCCCGTTAACCACACCACCCATCTGACCTGCAGCAGCATCTCTAATGTGATGCAAATCTTGCAGGGGGCCATAGCACCAGCCTGGTGCCCTGGCTTTGTGTCGTGGGACACACTACAAGTTTATGGCCGAGGGAGCCCCGTCCCTGCCATGCATTTCCAGGGGAAATGGCCTCAGTGGCGGGAAGTTAAAGTGGGAAAAGAAAAGGGAGGATGCACGGTCTTGTGTTCCTGCACGTTTATTTTTTAATTGCCGGTAACTGCTGACCCGAAGCATTCACCCCATGAGCTCTTTCAGGCTCCTGCCCCACAGTTTGAGGGTAGGGATGGCACGGTTGGGGGATGGAGGCTAACAGTAATCAGTTTGGGGAGTTTATTTTTGGGAGGTAGCTTTACAAGCAAAGGTAATCCTCCATAATGTTTTCCATGGTGTTCATATTGTTTTATAGGATCGCTAGTGAAATCCACAAGACTTCCTCATTTTACCTTTATTTTTTTTAAAAAAGCCTGTCCTTAAAATTATCTGCGATGTCAGCTGTACACATGGGTAAGGTGGCAAGCGTGTACTCCAAGGGGGAGTGTGGGATTTAATGAAAGACTGTCTCACGAAACACCTAACTGGTGCCCAGGTTCATGTCCCTCCATGATTTCTTCCTCCACAAAATCCTAAGTCTATATTTCCACACATCAGTAAACAACAATAAGATCACATGCTTAAGGGACACCAGAAGCAGCTCATTTTTAGAGGGATAATTCGGCCAAGAAGACAACAGCAAGAAGGAGAAGGAGGACAACACTGCCCTGTACACGCAGCTGGCCCCAGCCTGGCCCGCCCGAGTGTGCAGTTTGGCCTTAAGAATCGCACTGTGTATGTTCAGCCCACCTGATGTGCGCTTCATTTAACAGATGATTTTTCCTTGATGGATGTGGCAAGCGTAACAATGTTCTGGGCCTGCTTCAGCAACGGCATGTCGATCATACTCCCTTGGAAAGTAAAGGCTCCCTGCAACACAGAGAACACAAACTTCCTGAAAGAAGGTTTGGAAATTATAGGCTTCCTTTTGGCGCACCCTTGTACAACAAGAACATTTTTAGATTCCACCTGAATTACACTGACTTTCCTACCCAACTTCTGAGAGAGCCAAAGCAAATTGCAGGGGAAAGATTTCTTAGAGGAATTAAAAAAAAAAAAACCCCACACAGCATTTTAATAGGAAGGAAAAATACATCAGATGCAAAATATGAGAAGCTGTTCACTTAACTCTTGAAATCAAGCAAAAAGAAACTGTAGAAGGAAAATTTAGGGAGTTGATTATGTGGCTTTTGAAATATTGCATAGGACTTTAAAAGCAACAACATGCTCTGGCAACTAATTATTATTATTATTACTATTTTTTTTTTATCTTTTTCATTTTTATCCGTACCGGGGATCGAACTCACGACTGCCTGCTTGCAAGGCAGGTGCTTATGCCGCTGAGCTAAACCTCCAGCCCCTAATTATTATTTTTAAAAACTGTATTATCAAGTTAATGGCAAAAGGCATCCTCCTTGTGTTAACACAGTGGAGAGGTGTCACGTACAGGGCTAAGCAAATGCAGGCTAAGATTATACTGGGTAAAGGCCAGGAGTCTGCCAGCCACACCTGTGAAACAGAAGCAAAAGGACCAGAGGCAAGAGCACGCGGCAAATAAATCACAGTTCTGGTGAGTGTCGGGACGCAAAGGCATCTCTGGGTCTCCTATTCTAATTTTGCAAGTTCATTTTTCTCCCCTTTTATAGATACTGATTCCATGTATCATGTGACCTAAGCCTTTTCTGGCTTGGGAAACTGAGGCCCAAAGGACTTGACGGATTTTCCAAGATTATGTGACCCAGAAAAGTTGGAGCTGTAATCCCAGCACCCTGGGAAGCTGAGGCAGGACAATTCACAAGTTCAAGTCCACATCTGGCAATTTAGCAACTTAGTGTGACTCTGTTTCAAAGTCAAAAAGGGCTGGGATGCAGCTCAATGCAAAGGCCCTGGGTTCAAACCCCACCACCAAAACCAAAAAAAACGAAACTGGAAACCTTGGAGCCATGGCTAATACTTGAATCTCAGTGCTACACTAAGATAACAAGAAAGTTTTTTTAACAACAACAACAATAACAGGTTTCTTTAGTCTATTAGGAAAAAAAACTAAATGGACAGAAGGTGGCTTGGAATCCAAAGTTACTATCCTGTTACTTATGTTCTTTCCTTCCTTTCCTTTTCTTTTTGAGACAGGGTGTCACTGTGTAGTTCCTGCTTGGCTTTAACTCACTATGTAGGTGAGTTAAAGGTTGCCCTCAAATTTGCAGCAATCCTCCTGCCTCGGCCTCCCAAGTACTGGGACTAGAGGTGTTCACACGTTGCTGGGCTTTTTGTTCCTTCTTTGTGCTGTACCAGCCCCGGCCCCTCTCTCCACTCTTCTGTCTACCTGTGGGCAAGGTAGCCGGTGTCTTGGAGACTTGTGTACTAATGTTGCAGGGCTCAGCCCTTCCTAGGTCTCAGGTGCACAGGTGCTGTCCTGCCCTTACTCAGGACTTCTGGGACCCTGTGCTGGGCCACCCCAAACCACAAGGTGGTCACTCAGGGTTGTGCACACATAGGGTGGACCCACCAGGGCATCCTTAGCAAGGATGGCAGCTTTCCATCAAGAGATGTAATTAGGATTTTCTTTCATGATGCTTTCCCTCGAACACCTGTGTGGCCTGCAATCTCGGCCTCCGAGGGACCCTCCCACCCTCTCACCACTCCATTCACATCCCCACTCTGGCCTCTGGTCACTTAATCCAGCCCATGCCCAGCCTAGGCATCTCTCTGAGCGTGATGCATTGTACGAAGTCAGAGTGAGAAGGCTCCAAGGCCAGCACCCTGTAGGAGTCGGGGCGTGGGTCCCATGCTGCTTTACGAGGCAATCGTCTGAGTTTCTCACTGGAGAAAATGAGGAAGACCAAGGCCTCTTGGTTATCTGCCCACTGGGTGGATTATGGCCCTGTAAAACAGCACATCTGCCCTTCGAAGGCCTGAATAATAGGCCGGAGAAACAGAATTAGCATAGACGCACACGGAATCAAAATGCTGTCTTTGGGTCTATGCCTGGTGCCTGAAAGTGCTTTTCCTTCCCCAGCACATCAAAGATGGCAAGTACTTCCTGTGGCTTTTCAGGGGTGGGGGATCATTTTTTCTGTCTTGCTTGATTTTCTCCCTTAAGGTGGAAAACAAAAACAAATTTTTTTTGTTCTGCTTCCTTCAATGATGAAAAACAAGGATTTTAATGTTTTGAGAATTAGATTGCCTACATCAGCCATGGTGGTGCAAATCTGTCATCCCAGTACTTGGGAGGCTGAGGCAGGAGGATCCTTGCGAGTTTGAGACTAGTCTAGGCTACATAGTGAGTTCAAGACCAGCCCTAACTATATAGTGAGGCCCTGCTTCAAAAAACAAACAAAACACAAAAGAGTTAGACTAATCTGAATATCCTTCTGCTTTCACATACCAGCCTATAATCTGGCTGTTTTTTAAATACTCTATATGGATCTTCATAGGACATGTAAATGGTCTTTCCGGTCAGCACTTGGAAAAAATGCAGTTTGTCAAAGGCTACTCGGATTTTCAGAGTTTGAAATATTCCTTAGTGAATGATTCTAGAGAAGCTTCAGTTTCACAGCCTTGTGGTTTCTTGAAAAGTTGGCACCCCATTTCAACCCGCATAGGGAGCGTCTGTATCATTGTATTTTAAATGCCTCTAAATAATAATTTATTCATCATTAAATATCTTAAAAACCCTGTCAACAAAGATGGTAACAGTTATAATTTTTTAGTGGTTCCTAGTCCCCAGACCCAAGCTTAGGGCTGTGTGCGCCTTTGTTCTGTGTAATCCTGATGTTGTCATTATCTGTCCTATTAGTAAGTTCTCTTTCTTTCTCTTTTTGGCCAGGTGCAATTGCACTGCCTACAATCCAAGCTACTTAGGGGCTGAAGCAGGAAGACTGTAAATTTGAGACCAGCTTGGACTACATAAGAAGCCCCTGCCTCAAAATAATAGAACACGGCCTGGGATGTAGCTTGGGGTTTCCTTGTTTCAACCCCACTGGGAAAAAAAGCCATTGTTTTGTTTGGTTTCAGTTTTGGTTTTTTGAGACAGAGTAGTAGTCCAGGCTGGTCTTGAACTACTATATAACCCAGGCTGGTCTCTAACTCACGGCGATCCTCCTGCCTCAGCCTCCCAAGAGCTGGGATTATAGGCACACGCCACCACAGTTGACAAAAAAAGGTTCCCCCCACCTTTTAATTTTGGTTAAAAAATATCACATAAGTTACTCTCTTTGCCATTTTTACACATATGGTTCAGCAGAGTTAAGTGTGCTCTGGGGTTATGTGACAGAGAGGTCTAGATCTTCCTCTTCCGGCACTGAAATTCTGCACCCAGCGAGCAGCTTTCCCAGTGCCTCTCCATGGCTCCTCGAATCCGCTGTTTGTTTCATTCCTGTTTCTATGTGTGTGTACCCATTGCCAGGTTAAAACTGAGGAAACTGAGTCACAGAGAGAAGAAGCAAGCAGGCAAGTCGGCTCTGTAGCTTGTAAGAACAGAACAGAGGCGAGCCTGTTTGTGTGTGCCGGAAGCTGGCACTCTTGAAGGTTTATCAACTGAAAATGTCCCAAGTGTGCTATGCGACTGTAACTTGGAGTCCTGGTGTGTGTGAGAGTGATTTAAAATGCAGGGTCCTGGGTCTCTTTCCACAGGGCTGACGCAGAAAGCTGGGGATTGGCCGGGAACTCGTTGGTGCCACAGATGCGCAGGGGTGAAGCCTTTGGGAAATGGTTCTCTCTCTCACCAGGCATTGATGTGCCCATAGCCAGCTTCCCCCCACTCTTCTGTCCATTATGAACTGGGCAGGTCTTGGGAGAGCTGCTGGGAGCCAGGTGCGGGGACTCCACCCCCGCCTTCAAGGAGCTTGGGGTTGGCGGGAGCAGATGGGGAAGAAAAGAAGCAGGGGTGCCATGAAATGCGACAAGAATCTAAGAAAGCCAGGGGCCGGCAAGGGTTCCACCCCTGCCGGGCTGCACAGGCACACAGAAATGGTCACTGCGGTTTCTGACCATCACAGACCCCTGGCCAGTCACATAGCGCAGCCTTCAGTACACAGGTCTGTGATTTCAGACTCTGGAGGGACAGTCATCTGTGTGACAGTCGGGCGCTTGATTTCCCTACACCTCAGTCACTTATTTCTGTCACCTGAGCACCCTGGGGAAGCCTTTCCTGTTTCTGGGAAAATGGTGACACTGGCAGAGGTAACCGCATGCACCTCTGTGGAACGTTCACTTTTGCATTTCTGGCCCTTGGCGGTGGAGACGTGTTCTCCCTGGGGACAGGAAGGGTCACGTGCCGGGAGCCACGAACTGACCTCACGTTTTCAGCAGTGTGTGCTGGGCTCTGCCCCTGAGCTCCACCCCTGGCCCAGATTGACCTGATTCCTTCCCTACTGGCTTTGCTTTCAACTTCTTGGGATAGCAGGTTGTTTCCTCCACCACACTGTGATCTGAAGGTGCAGAGATTCCCTGCAAGAGGGGCCCCTGTGTCGCACAGTCCTTGCAGTCTCTGCTTTTCAGGGTCACACCCTATTCCCACATGGCATTGTCCTGTGCTCAGTGACACTTCCCGGTGAAGTCCTAATATTTTAATTAAAATCAGTGTCAGCCATTATTATCAATTTTGCCTTCAAGCCAGGTGTGGTGGTGCACACCCGGAGTCCCAGCACTCAGGAGGCAGGAGGGTCACCATGAGTTCAAACCCAGTCGGGGCTACACAGTGAGTTCAAAGCCAGCCTGGACTGCATAGTGAGACCCTGTCTCAAAAACAAACAAACAACCCCCCACCCCCCCAAAAAAAACCCCATTAGGACTCTGGTTGTGTCTGAATATGGTGAAATGTCCCAGCCCCAGCCCGGAACCAGCCTCCAGCAGAGCAGCCCTTCCAGCAG